ACCTAACATACGAATTTCAAAAATAATAAATAGAGCAGTTGGGTTTATTTTGACTTTAAATTAAGAGATTTCGATTTCGGGTTATTAAAGCTTTTCTTTGAATTAAATTAAATGTACCACTTAACACTCATGTTATAAAATAATTGCAGGTTTTTACTTTTAAGATTATGAATCACGTTTTTATCTTTTATTCAATATTGTGAATTCATCTCTCTTTATATTTTACTTAATTTCGTAACGATTATTTATGAGTGTTAGTACCAAATTAGTCTCAGTGTGTAGTGACTACACTATGTTCTCATGATTCATGAATATATTTTGATAGTTTTGTAGAAGAAAAAAAAGATTTTTTAAAATAAGTATTAATCAATATATTGATTTAAATCTTGAAAATAATTTTTGATAGATATGTAAGGTAAAATTACGTATAGTAAACCTTTGTGATTAAGCTTTTTCCTAAATTTTGTACGTCGTAAAGATTTTAGTGAATCGGATTATCTTTTATTTTTATCTTTATTAATCACCATATTAAGGAACCGTAAATATGTGCAACTTAAAGGACCCAAAATAAAACGAAAAATTCTTAAGAGAGGGAATCACTTTTTTGTAATACTTTATAGGTGCAACAAAGAAAAAAAAAGATCTTTTGTTGAAAAGGTTTATTTATTAAGTTTTTTTTGGGTCATATTTTAAAAGTGTTTTTGCGAAGAAAAATTTATTTACTTTATTGCTTCTAGAAATAATAGTTTTTGTTACTATTCAAATTTACTTTATTTTTTCAGAAAAAATTGATAAAACACTTCAACTCTTCTTAAATAACGATTTTCTTTTCTTCTTCTTTTTTTTTTAAAAAAAGAAATTGCTTTCTCAAAAGCTTGATCAAGGTATAATAATAGTGCTCAACAGCATATAATACAATAAATATAATTATATGAAAGATATATTCTATTAGTGGCATTTTATTATCAATTTTTTTCTGTACACATATACTTTATTTTTAATTCGTTTCAAAATAAATATTACATTTTTGTAGTTATAAATAATTTAATTTTAATTTTTTTTAAACTTTTAATGAAATATTTTATGACCAGAATTTTTTTTTACATTAATAGATCATATATTTTTTAGACATAATTTTTATTTTATTTTTATATCAATTCAAATAATGATAGATAAATTTAAAAACTGAAGTATATGATTATACCACGTTAAAGGCTCATAAAGTAACCTGACAAAGAACAATAAAAAGCACATGAAAGTATGATTTTTCAATTCAAACATAGAGATCTAAAGGATTTGGTCAAAACATGGTAGGACACGAGAAAAACGCTGTGCTACGTACGAAGAAAATAATAAAAGATATTTATCAATTTCTTTAAAATATTAATTAGTCAAAAAAAAATTGAAAAGAAGAGTTAAATAATTTTTTCGACAGTGAAAAATAAATAAATTATACAAGTGTCATGTCACACCTCCATCACATTCATTGTATGATTATAATTATAATACCAACTCATGATTTCATGAATCATGTTATTAATTGATAAGGGAGGTGGGGGGGGGGTTTAAATTTTTAATTTGTCTATCTTTTTATTTATAATCTTAAGTGGAATATTAATTAATCAAGCATTTATAAATCTTAATTTCCTACCTTATCTGTCCCTCCCTTTTCAAACATTTTAAATAATATTTTTTCATCGAAACAATTTAGAAACCTATATGACCTTGCATCCATTACGGTTTTAATTATTGCAAGATAAAAGTAAGCGTTTGGCCAAATATTTTAATTATTGTTTATTTTATTTGAAATTTATAAAATTAGAGTTGAAATGAAGTTTTGTCTAATTAAACTTTTTGTAAAGATAAGAAAAAATATTTTATTTGAAATTTATGGAGTTGAAAAATATGTTTGGAGCACTATCCCAAATTTGGAAATTTTATACCTTATTTAAAATAAATTATAAACTATTTCAAAGAAGAAAAATATTGTGATAAAAAAAATCATGATAGTTTTGTTTTTCGGGTTAAAGAGATGACGATTATAATAATAGTGATATTGTGGCTTTTGTGGCGACTTAGTCATCGCTATAGGTCTAGATTTTATAATAAATTCGAATTGGCAACGTCTGCGTGCCTAGCCATGTCACCAAAAATTTGACACTTCTTAGGAGTAGTTGTGGTTTACTAAGATGATAACGGAGATATTTTTTATCCCAAAATATAATGAAGGGTATAAATAACCTATTTTATATAGTTCAAAAGTAATTTTGACATTATTCCTTATAATAATGCTATCTGTAAAAGTACATCACATAATTGTGAATCAACCAAATATATATCTAGTGTAATTTCATAAATAAATCTCAAAAACTTTTACACAAACCTTATCTTCTCTTTGTAACAAAAAAGTTATTTTCCAAAAAAGTTATATAAAAAAAAAACATTTTACTCCAATATAATCGAATGATGGAGTGGGGTTCGTTAGAAAAAAATGCCACGCAATAGAAAAGCTTGCTATGATCGCCCTTCATTATTGATAAAAGAAAATACATTAATATATTTAATGAAATTTCACGAATAAAATTTTTAAAAAATTATATAATTATATACGTAAACTTTATCATTATGACATTACTTCAATTACCCACTTTCTTTTTTTTTGGTTCCACTTTCTTTTTCTGTGATTATTTCATTTCCACTGTGAGTGTGAAACACGTGATAGATAAAATATTGGAATTCTAAAAGAAGAAAACAATGTACAAGTTTGTTATTTTCCATGTAAACACAATTTTCGTCGTGGTGTATTATAAAATAAAAAATAGCGGGTTAATTGATTCAATGTGGGGGCATTGATTGATAAACATAGCTACTACTAATATATGATAATTTAAATTTTTTTAGATGTAGTTACTGAGTAATTAGTAATAGAGTTAATATTTTCATTAAACATTCGAAATATAAAAATAAAATAACATCTAATTTTTTAATAAAAATATTTAAATAAATCGCTCGATCTTTGCTCACTCTGCTTTAAACTATAATAATGTGAACTAGCCAATTTATGTCCTTTTATAGGTGTTCAAACGAAACGAGAATTCATACAGGGAATATCTCTCTCTCTCTCACACACATATATATCCTTTTAGTTTAAAATGATTTTCCAAATTCTTTTTTAAAAAAAATCTAAAATTACAAAATTTTTATGGATGAGTACAGGCCCACCGCCAGTTCATTTTTGCAAATTGTTGATCGTAATTTAGGATATTCATTGAACGTGGAGTGAATTTTTTATTTGAAATTTTTTGAGTAATTTATTATTAATCTTAAAGTTCTTTGTAAAAGCATCAATGTTTTTTTCGATCAATAGACTAACACTTTAATAAGGGCAATATAACAATATTCTCTCCACTTCAATTTGTTTATCTTAAAATTTTGTTGTTAAGAAAATTGTTAGTATTTGAAAAAAGCAATATAGTTATTTTCAAAGTAAAAAGGGATATTTAAATGGCTCATGAATATATAAATTCAAAGATTCTATATTCCGATCTAAAATAAATACTCTCTCTGTCTCTATTTACTTGTCTATATTTTTTTTATATTTATCCCTATTTACTTGTCTATTTTAAGAAATCAAGAAAGGACAACAATTCTTTTTTCTAATATGTCTTTATTTAATTCTGGAAAATTTCTAATACTACTAAGTTGTAATGCATGCTTTTTGGTACCAAAAAATACATTCATTATACTTGGAGGAGTTACATAATCTTTTAAGTTAAGATTAAAATTATAACTAACCTATGATAATAATTGGTGCCTTAATATGTGTGTCACTTCTAAAATGAACAACTAATTAGAGATAGAGGGAATATCAATTTGATCAATTTTCATATTTTAAATAAAACCAAACAAATTAAAAGCGAAAAAGTATTTGAATTATATATCTGTCCCCCATCAGCATGAAGAGTCGATAGGACCCATTATACACATTGCATAATAAGAAATGAAATTCATGGACAATACTATTATATGCTGATGTATCGTATGATCAATTCATTTCAAAATAAAAGCTCTCCAGGTTCCAAAGCGGGAATCACATGTGCATTCTAATTAATACTTCATTAGTTTAAAAAAGAACGATTTAGTCATGTCACATGAAAAGTTAAAGTTAAAAGTATTGTAAAAAAAAGTTTTTCTTTTCAAAATAAACTAAAGGAAAACTAGGTCATTTTTTAAAAACGTATGAAATACTATATATTGGTGTTCAGGAGCCAAAAGTGTCAAAAAGGGTTCATTTGAATCTCTTTTATAAAAAAATCACATTATATATAATAAATATTGAATCTCTTAAGCTTTTCGTATATTTACTTTTTTATATTTTGAATCTCCTTTGACAAAATCACGATTTTGCCATTATGGAGTTGTTTGGTTTGAATTCAAGTTATGATGAGATTATTTTTTATATTTAGTGTTTGGTTTGTTTTATTCAAAATAATAGACGTTGCATAAATTTTTTAAGAACAATTTATTTGTTTAGAAAAGTATCCTTTATGAATGTGAAAAATGATGTCTAAAAAGGGGTTAAAATAATATTTTTTGACATTTGCTTATTTGTTCCCGTGATTATTATACCACCCAAGAAAGAAATAACTTATCTCGATACTAATTAGGATAAATTATTTCAAACATACCAATCAAGACACTTGCAATTTAATCCCATGATTATTTGGCGTAATCATTCACACCAAACGACTAGAGTTCAAGTATTCACAATATCTACACCAATACTATTATCTTTCTATTTTGAAATAAAAGTACACTCCTATTTGAATCATCTAGCTACTACATTCTATTAAGACTCAAAATTATTACTATCTCAATCTCTCCCACCTACCGCATGTATATGTTGGAGTGTTAGGTGAGCCTCTAAACTTTTACTTACTAGCAACATATTATATAATGCAAGGTTGGAACCAAATAATTCATCAACCAAAAGCTATTAGCAATGGCAAGTGTAGTGTGCAATAGTAGTAGTAGTACTACTACTACAACGCTCAAAACTCCTTTTACTTCTTTAGGTTCCACTCCTAAGCCCTCTCAACTTTTCCTTCATGGAAAACGTAACAAAACATTCAAAGTTTCATGCAAGGTTATCAATAATAACGGTAACCAAGATGAAACGAATTCTGTTGATCGAAGGAATGTTCTTCTTGGTTTAGGAGGTCTTTATGGTGTTGCTAATGCTATACCATTAGCGGCATCGGCTACTCCTATTCCATCCCCTGATCTCAAAACTTGTGGTAGAGCCACCATATCGGATGGTCCACTTGTACCCTATTCTTGTTGTCCCCCTCCTATGCCGACTAACTTTGACACCATTCCATATTACAAGTTCCCTTCTATGACTAAACTCCGTATCCGTACCCCTGCTCATGCTGTAGATGAGGAGTATATCGCGAAGTATAATTTGGCCATAAGTCGAATGAGGGATCTTGACAAGACAGAACCGTTAAACCCTCTAGGGTTTAAGCAACAAGCTAATATACACTGTGCTTATTGTAACGGTGCTTATATAATTGGTGGCAAAGAGTTACAAGTTCATAACTCGTGGCTTTTCTTCCCGTTCCATCGATGGTACTTGTACTTTTACGAAAGAATATTGGGGAAACTCATTGATGATCCAACTTTCGCTTTACCATACTGGAATTGGGATCATCCAAAGGGCATGCGTTTACCTCCCATGTTCGATCGTGAAGGTTCTTCCCTCTACGATGAAAGGCGTAATCAACAAGTCCGTAATGGAACGGTTTTGGATCTTGGTTCATTTGGGGATAAAGTTGAAACAACTCAACTCCAGTTGATGAGCAATAATTTAACCCTAATGTACCGTCAAATGGTAACTAATGCTCCATGTCCTCTCTTGTTCTTCGGTGCGCCTTACGTTCTTGGGAATAACGTTGAAGCACCGGGAACCATTGAAACCATCCCTCATATTCCTGTACATATTTGGGCTGGTACTGTCCGTGGTTCAAAATTTCCTAACGGTGATGTGTCCTACGGTGAGGATATGGGTAATTTCTACTCAGCTGGTTTGGACCCGGTTTTCTATTGCCATCACGGCAATGTGGACCGGATGTGGAACGAATGGAAGGCAATAGGAGGTAAAAGAAGAGATATATCTGAAAAGGATTGGTTGAACTCCGAGTTCTTTTTCTACGACGAACACAAAAATCCTTACCGTGTGAAAGTCAGGGACTGTTTGGACACGAAGAAAATGGGGTATGATTACGCACCAATGCCAACTCCATGGCGTAATTTCAAACCAAAATCAAAGGCGTCCGTAGGGAAAGTGAATACAAGTACACTCCCCCCAGCAAACGAGGTATTCCCACTCGCGAAGATGGATAAGACTATTTCATTTGCTATCAACAGGCCAGCTTCATCGCGGACTCAACAAGAGAAAAATGAACAAGAGGAGATGTTAACGTTCAATAACATAAGATATGATAACAGAGGGTACATAAGGTTCGATGTGTTCCTGAACGTGGACAACAATGTGAACGCGAATGAGCTTGATAAGGCAGAGTTCGCGGGGAGTTATACTAGTTTGCCACATGTTCACAGAGCTGGCGAGAATGATCATATCGCGAAGGTTAATTTCCAGCTGGCGATAACAGAACTGTTGGAGGACATTGGTTTGGAAGATGAAGATACTATCGCGGTGACTCTGGTACCAAAGAAAGGCGGTGAAGGTATCTCCATTGAGAATGTGGAGATCAAGCTTGTGGATTGTTAAGTCTCAATTGAATTTGCTGAGATTACAATTATGATGGATGATGATATGTTTTTATGTTACTTTTGTTCTGTTATCTACTTTTGCTTTTCTCGTGTAACTTTTCCTGTTGAAATCAGCCTACATGCTTGATTTCCTTGGAGTTGTTATTCACTAATAAATCAGTTAGGTTTACTATAAAAAAGTATAGCTACTCGCGACATTTATTTGATGACATTTAAAATTAATATCGAAAAGAAAATTAGAAAAAATTCTCGACAAAAACAAAAAATTGATGTGATTGACCTAAAAATAATGATTATCAAGTGTGAAATATCATTTAAAACAATGATATTTGATACAAATGAAAAAACATTGATATTTATTTCAAAATTGGAAAAATATTATGACATGTGTTTCAAGTGTTATTTATTATCAGTAGTTAACTATCGACATTTACATTTAATATTAAAAAATTTAGATCTTTTAAAATTATTTTTTCACTCTAGAAGAAAAATTATTGGAGTCGTACACAATATGAGTCTTTATTTATTTATTTTTAATTTATCACTACTTAACTAATCCACGTTACACGTAAATTAATCTTCCAAATCAATTATTTTTTAATTTATATATTCTTCTTTGATTATTGTATCACTAAACAGTTTTTAGTCTTTCTATAAATACTCGTGTATTATGTGAAGAAAAATTCTTAATAAGAAGTAAAAGAAAGAAAAGAATTTTAAGAAATATAAAAACTTTCTAAATATAGTCAAAAAAATTTTGGAGAAAATAATCGCTTCATATATGTGAATTAGATTATTTTGGTCCTTAGTATATACCACTCGATAGACATGGTCCTAATGGATATTATTTTAATCCCAACCACTAAATTTAACATTTCCATGTTAAAAACTAACGGCCCACCTCCCAAGTCATCTCTCTTCAGTTTGCTTGGCCTGTTCCTTTTCTGGTTCTTCTTCTTCAGTGTATGTTTTTCCTCAATAAGAGGATTGTAAATTAATATTATTATAAGTAGATTGTAAATTAATATTATTAGAATAATGGATAATTTTTTTTTGTGGGTGTATCCATCCTCAAGCTTGGATCTACTACTGGTCTGTGTGATTATCTTACTAATTTTATCCTATGAATCGTCCTCAAATTAAAATTCAATAAGAATATTGTTATTCATATCCTTATCAAAAAATAGAATCCATCATCATAAAACGAAACGAGTGTTTTATCCTATTTGCATTTTCACGTGTTTACTTATATTTTAATTATTTTTTATAAAATTTTCACTTTGCTATTTAAATTTTCAATTCGTTACTTAAGTATAAACTTTTTGTTCTTCACGCAATACTAATTGTAATATTTTTCTAAAATCACTCAATTGTTATTTTTAACTCAAAGTCGCTCGATTGTTTTACTTACAAAAGTCATTTAATTTATTTTTTAAATTAATATTTATTGACATGAAATGCTTATTTCTAATCAAATTTTTGAGAAAATAATATATTTAGTGATCCGCCCACTTTACCTTTTTTTAATTTAAAATAATATTTTTTATTTCTTAAAAGTTGGGTAAGAAACAAAAATTCATATCAACAAAGTTTATTCTAAAAAATTAATTAAATACATTGAACGACTTTACAAGTAACACATTCATAATTAAACAACTTTAAAGTTAAAACTTAAAATTAATTATTTTTAAAAAAATTAAAATTCATAATTAAATAATTATATAAGATATTATTTCAACGATTCAATTATCTTCTATGAGATATCATTCATTTCGGACAACTGGTACAAAAAGCTTTACATGGAAAAACACATGGACAGACTAAAACACTTTTTTTTTTTAATAATATTGTTTGCAAGTGTACACCGAAAGATCTACGTTAATATAACATAATATTACGGGTAAAGCTAGAAGTCTAATTACGAATTTCATGAGATTTAATAACTTTTATTTTTATTATATTTATATTTAAAAATTATTAAATATATACAAATTTAAACTCTTAAAATCATTGTTACAAAATTTAGAATCCAAAATGTTAATATTATGGTTTCGCCTCTGCTAAACATTACTAATCAAAATTATCTTTTTGTTTAGAGCATTACTACTGTACAAATCTACCAAGTATAAATATAAAAGCTGTTAAAGAATTTCCCCACACTTATTATTCTTAATCTTCCACCTACCCAATCACAAATATATTAAATGAGCCTCTAAATTTGCCCTATTGCGGGTAATATGATCTACCTATCAATTATTTGTAATCTAGTCAAAAAGATGCCAAAAAAATATAATACTCCATCTAGATTGAAAATTTTTGTCAATAGAAAAGAAGAGAAACATGATAACTTTATAAAATATTTTACCTCTGGTATAGTTTTGATATAGCGTATAATAATAATATATTAATATTAATAAATGATGAGATTAGTTATCTTTAGAATGCATTCTATCTTATGTCTGGTTTGATGTATTAATGACAATTTTGTTTCTACAACCATGCATTATTACTGATCAATGTATTGTTAAATGCTAATACGTTGATTTGTTATGTATTAGTTACATATACCTATATGTTTTGTAATAAGAAAAATGATGTATAACTAATTAATAAGTAGTATTATCATGAGTAAAGTTATTTTTCTGGTCAGTAGAGAGCTTCTAAGAACAAAAACTAAATAATTGTATTGTATGGCTGCTATTCAAAATTCCCCACCTAACGCGTCCTGGAATAATTGATATGACTTGAAGCCGCCTCTAAAATTAAATAATAATTGGTGCTTATAATGTTTTACATATTATATAAAGCAAGGTATAGCCCAATGAATTTTCATTCAAAAGCTAGCAACAATGGCAAGTTTGTGTAGTAATAGTAGTACTACTTCTCTCAAAACTCCTTTCACTTCTTTAGGTTCCACTCCAAAGCCTTGTCAACTTTTCCTACATGGAAAACGTAACAAAGCATTCAAAGTTTCATGCAAGGTTACCAATACTAACGGTAACCAAGATGAAACGAATTCTGTAGATCGAAGGAATGTTCTTCTTGGCTTAGGAGGTCTTTATGGTGTTGCTAATGCTATACCATTAGCTGCATCGGCTGCTCCTACACCACCTCCTGATCTCTCGTCTTGTAGTATAGCAAGGATTGACGAGAATCAGGTGGTGTCATACAGTTGTTGCGCGCCTAAGCCTGATGATATGGAGAAAGTTCCGTATTACAAGTTCCCTTCTATGACTAAGCTCCGTGTTCGTCAGCCTGCTCATGAGGCTGATGAGGAGTACATCGCCAAGTACAACTTGGCGGTTAGCAAGATGAGAGATCTTGATAAGACACAACCTTTGAACCCTATTGGTTTTAAGCAACAAGCTAATATACATTGTGCTTATTGTAACGGTGCTTATAGAATTGGTGGCAAAGAGTTACAAGTTCATAACTCGTGGCTTTTCTTCCCGTTCCATAGATGGTACTTGTACTTCTACGAGAGAATCGTGGGAAAACTGATTGATGATCCAACTTTCGCTTTGCCCTATTGGAATTGGGATCATCCAAAGGGTATGCGTTTTCCTGCCATGTATGATCGTGAAGGGACTTTTCTTTTCGATGAAACACGTGACCAAAGTCACCGTAATGGAACCGTCATTGATCTTGGATTTTTTGGCAATGAAGTCGAAACAACTCAGCTACAGATGATGAGTAATAACTTAACTCTAATGTACCGTCAAATGGTGACTAATGCTCCATGTCCTCGGATGTTCTTTGGCGGACCTTATGATCTCGGGACTAACGTTGAACTCCCCGGAACTATAGAGAACATCCCTCACGGTCCTGTGCACATTTGGTCTGGTACAGTGAGAGGTTCAACTTTGCCCAATGGAGCCATATCAAACGGGGAGAATATGGGACATTTCTATTCCGCTGGTTTAGACCCGGTTTTCTTTTGCCATCACAGCAATGTGGATCGAATGTGGAGCGAATGGAAAGCAACAGGAGGGAAAAGAACCGATATCACACATAAAGATTGGTTGAACTCCGAATTCTTCTTCTACGATGAAAATGAAAATCCTTACCGTGTGAAAGTCAGGGACTGCTTGGACACGAAGAAGATGGGGTACGATTACAAGCCAATGGCAACCCCATGGCGTAACTTCAAGCCTTTAACAAAGGCTTCAGCTGGGAAAGTAAATACAAGTTCAATTCCTCCAGTAAGCCAGGCATTCCCATTGGCGAAACTCGACAAAGCAGTTTCGTTTTCCATCAACAGGCCGACTTCATCGCGGACTCCACAAGAGAAAAATGCACAAGAGGAGATGCTAACATTCAACAGCATAAGATATGATAACAGAGGGTACATAAGGTTCGATGTGTTCCTGAACGTGGACAACAATGTGAATGCGAATGAGCTTGATAAGGCAGAGTTCGCGGGGAGTTATACTAGTTTGCCACATGTTCATAGAGCTGGTGAGACTAATCACATCGCCACGGTTGATTTCCAGCTGGCCATAACAGAACTGTTGGAGGATATTGGTTTGGAAGATGAAGACACAATTGCGGTGACTCTGGTGCCAAAGAGAGGTGGAGAAGGTATCTCCATTGAAAATGCGACCATCAGTCTTGCTGATTGTTAATTAGTTACTATCGAATTTGAATCTGCTGATATTACTTTGATGCTCTGTTTCTGTTTTTTTCTTTTCTTCATGTGGAATCAGCTTGATGCTTGATTTCCTTTTTAGTTGTTATGCAAGAATAAATTAGTTACAATTATGTTTGAAAAAATAAAACATTATTTACTTTTGATTTCAAATCAAAAATATAATCCAAGTTAAAACGCGATAATATCATTTTGTCTAGAATAGGTCACAACTCACGAGGCTCCATAGGTTCGTCTTTTAGGTGTACAGTTACTTTTCTTCATGGAATTTGGAGATGAGAATATCATCTTGTCTAGAATGAAAAATGGTGATAGTGATTGCTTCCATGGGGTAGCCACATAGTGGCGAGGGTGTCCTACGGCACATCCTTCGTCTAAAAAGAATATGGTATATATAAATAAAACAATATACAAAATAATTAAATAATATATTTTGAACATTTTTAACATAATAAATTGCTAATTTTGGATACACTTTGTTAAATTTTTGGCTCCGCCCCTGGATTGCTTCCTAAGTCGGATGAAAACTAAGTAGTGATAGTGATTGATAAAAGGCATAATACATAAATATAACTCTTAGCTTGACATCATAAACGCGATCCTTAACTTGACGTCCACTGGCAACTATGACTCTTAACTTTGGGTATGCACAAGTAGACACTTAAACTTGTGTAAAATTGAACAAATAGACACATTCGTCCTACATGGCAATTTTGTGTCCTGTATGTACATGTGTGTCTACTTGTTCAATTTTATACAATTTAAATGCCTAGTTATACACACTCAAAGTTGAAAGACATAGTCGTACACTGAAATTAAGTTAAGGATCATGTTTATGTACTATGTCTTGATAAAATTAAGTAGTGGAAGTGAAAAATATCATATTCATTCAAGGAAGTTACTATATATTATAAAATGGTGATTGTAATTGCTTCTTGAGTCGAATGATTCATAATACCAATAATATTATCGAGTTTATAATTAAATATGTATAATTATTTTATTAAATATACCATGTATAATTAAAAATTACTAGTTCCCCGTAAATTAATCTTTAGATCCATTCCTTTAAAGATTTATTCATGTTATTTGTTTTAATGGTGTTGAACAATGACAGAGTAAAAATTGACGACTAATGAAAATAAGAACATAGGTAAAATTCTTCCTATTTCCATAACAATTTCATATTATTAAAAAACATTTGAGTAAATATAAATCCAAAGTTGTCTCCTTATTTAGAATTTGAATATTTAGAAGGTTGTGCATTCCAAAAGATGTACATCAACATAATATAATATGATATTATATCAAAGTTATCTTTCTGTTTAAAAAAGTAGTACACTACTTATATTTGATTAGTCTACTACAGATCTTCCCAAGTAAAAAAAAATTATTAAAAATTTCCCACATTTATTATTCTTAATTTCCCTCCTACCGCGTCCCAAATATAGTAATTATTAAGTGAGCTTTTAAACTTGCTCCCTATTGGAGTATATTTTATCAATGAATTTTTAATCTACCTATCAATAATTTGTAATTTAGTCAAAACGTTCAAAAAAGATAACCTTTTAGAATGAAGTTTAAGAAAAAAAAGAATTTTTTTTATCTGATGTACTTAAACGTATTAAAAATGTTATTTTGTATTGTTGTCTTAAATATGTCACGTGGAAAAATTAAAATTTTAGTATAATTAAAGAAGAAAAAAAGATTTATTTTTTAAAAAGACTTGAAAAGAAAGCATGTACTATATCTACTTTTAATTGTAATAATTTTTCTTTTTAGATTCAAACGATAATAATTTTGACTAATATTTTATGATGTATATTTTCACCATATCGATATGCAAATAATTGCAATTGATAGTGCTTTTCATATTGTTTAATATCTAAATTTTTTATTTAATATTAATATAATCTAATTTAATTTTTAAAATTACTTAAATTGACTTCTGGAAAAACGTAATATGACAATTAAAAATAAATTAAAAAAAAGTATTATTTTTTAAAGGAAGGGGCGGAAGATTTAAATCAATAGGATAAATGAAGAAATTAAACCAAGCCCAAAAAGAAACATAATAACTTCACAAAATTTATTTTGGCAAAAGAATATATTGCATATATAGTAAACATGAAATATAAGCTAATTTTGAGATGTAAACATGAAATATAAGCTAATTTTGAGATCTGTGTCATCACTAAAACCACTTCTTTTCTTAATCTTAGTGAAAAATAGTGCTTTGAGAGCGGAAAAGAGTTGTTAAATGAGTTTTGGAGTCAGTTTAATAAATATAGTACTGAATAAGATCCGTTAGTAATGATGAAATTAATAATCTGGAGACTATTTTTAATTAACTGTTTCATTTGGTGTATAGTATAATTTTTACGAATTAATATAGGTGGTATCATAAAGCTTTATTATTTTATAAAGATATTATTTAATCGATAAATTCATATTTATTAATTGGGAAAAGGCTAAAATATGTATGAACTTTCAGAAAAGGTTCACTTATGTCATTCGTTAAAAGTTTGGCACCCGTTCAAAAAAAGGCTAATTCATGCCATTATTTTTTAACAGTGATTTTGCAAAACAATTTTTGACACGTGGTCAATTATAATTCGGCTACATCATCAATTTTTTTAATTGAAAAATCATAATTCTGGGGAAAAAATTGAATTAATTTTTTTTTTTGATTCTTTATTAAATAAATTGATGATATGGCCTAATTATAACTAGTCACGTGTCAAAAATGGTTTTGTGAAACCACCGTTAAAAAATAATGGCATGAATAAGCCTTTTTTTGAACGATAATGGCATAGATGTGCCAAACTTTTAACGAATGACATATGTAAGCCTTATCTGAAAGTTCGATGACATATTTGAGTCTTTTCCCTTATTAATTTAAAGAATGGTTTGAGATGTAATGAAGGTTAATTTTGATTATATTAAAATCATTGTATCTTATTAATTTATGTATCATATTTATTGATCACAAAAAAAAATATTGAATTGCCACCATCGTACAAACAAAAAAGCGTGGATAACAAGTATGTTTTTTGATTCAATATATTTGTTGGTTTGACCACCAAATGTATAATAGACGAGTTTTGATTATGGTAGATAAATGTACATCACATAATAAAAATATTGAAGGACTACATAATATTGGATTATTTTTCTTGCCACCCAACATGACATTCAAAATTCAACATTGTGAGGCAATAATAATAAGAGCTTCAAAGATGTATTATCGTAACAGATTTTATCATATGATATTAGAAGGTTATGAAGTGGGACAAATTGATCCAACAAAGATTAATGTTTTGGATGTTATCAATTTTGCTATCCCTACTTGTACAACAAATGTTCGATAGGAGACAATAGCAAATTGTTTTTGACACTGTAAAGTTTGTTCGGGGATGTAATCTGAGAGAATTTGAATGAACCCATTTGTGAAAATGTCATTCATGAACTCAAGGTCATGATTAATGTTCTCGGTTACCACAATAAAATGGATGTCAATAACCTGTTATACATGTTCAGAGGTCCATAGCTTAGAAGAAGTTATGAATACCATCTGAAAAAGCAATGTCGATGATGAAGTTGAATATGATACTATACCTTTGAAACCAATTACACGTAAGAAACCACTTATCGCATCTGAAATTCTTCACAATTTTATGGTGAATTTCGAAAAGACAACGTCGGAGCTCTTGGGAGCAATATGAAAAGTTAGAAATGAACTTCAACTACATTTAAATTTCAACAAAAAAAAGAACAGAATAGAATCATCTTTTATTAAATTATCTTAGATATATTTGTACTTTTGAATAATTACTAATATATGATATTAATAGGACACATGTATTTATATAGGGGTCTTCTAAAAATATATTATCTCATTATTTTATTGAAAATGGTTTCATTGCCCTAATCGAAATCCTAGAAAAATATTATTTTAGAGAGATTATTAATTTATCGAGTATTAATTTATAGAGATTTTACGTTAATGTTATTGTGAAATTATAACCAATGCTTACTTATATATTTTTTAAAAAATTTCCTCACCTACCACATCCCAAATTTTTCGGTATGAGATCGACCTACCTCTAAGCTTATTTGAAATGGAGTAATATTTTATTTGGCCCCAACACATTATATAAGGCAATGTATAGCCCTATGAATCTTCATCCAAAGCTAGCAATAATGGCAAGTTTGTGTAGTAATAGTAGTAGTACATCTCTCAAAACTCCTTTTACTTCTTCCACCACTTGTTTATCTTCCACTCCTAAGGCTTCTCAACTTTTCCTACATGGAAAACGTAACAAAACATTCAAAGTTTCATGCAAGGTTACCAATACTAACGGTAACCAAGATGAAACGAATTCTGTTGATCGAAGAAATGTTCTTCTTGGCTTAGGTGGTCTTTATGGTGTTGCTAATGCTATACCATTAGCTGCATCCGCTGCTCCTACACCACCTCCTGATCTCTCATCTTGTAATAAACCAAAGATTAATGCAACTACGGAGGTGCCATACTTTTGTTGCGCGCCTAAGCCTGATGATATGTCCAAAGTTCCTTATTACAAGTTCCCTTCTGTGACTAAGCTCCGTATTCGTCCCCCTGCTCATGCTCTTGATGAGGCGTATATTGCCAAGTACAATCTGGCGATTAGCCGAATGAAAGATCTTGATAAGACACAACCTGATAACCCTATTGGTTTTAAGCAACAAGCTAATATACATTGTGCTTATTGTAATGGTGGTTATTCTATTGATGGCAAAGTGTTGCAAGTTCATAACTCGTGGCTTTTCTTCCCGTTCCATAGATGGTACTTGTACTTCTACGAAAGAATCTTGGGATCACTCATCGATGATCCAACATTCGGTTTGCCATTTTGGAATTGGGATCATCCAAAGGGCATGCGTTTCCCTCCCATGTTTGATGTTCCAGGGACCGCCCTTTATGACGAAAGGCGT